TTTAAATGACGAGGAGGACATGGTTAGTCTTCCGAAAAAGGAGAAAATAAGTGGATCACCGTGTGCAAATGATGAGATTGAAGAAATTCCAAATGAAGACGTCTAAACATGAAAGTCGAGCTGGTAAAGTGAAAGAAGATAAGAAAGCAATGAACCATAGAGAAGGTAAAAGTTTTGGGGCAAACTTTGTGAAGGAAAGAGCTGAAGGGGATGTTCTTAAGAAACCTGGGAAAGTTTATGCTGACGGCCTTAAGGAAAACTTAAACCCCATTGTTGATGATTCTGTGTCAGATACGAGCTTCAAAGAAATAAAAGAGCCCCTGCTCTTTGCATACCCAGACCCGGAGTTTTATGACTTTGACAATGCGAAGAAAGAAAGCTATTTTTCAGTCGGTCAGATTTGGGTTTTGTATGATACATTGGATGCCATGCCTAGATTCTATGCTCTGATCAGAAAAATATTCTCTTCTGTTCAAAGTGAACCTATACTACTACTTTGAAAAAAACAAAAGGTGATTTTTGGACAACTTCGAAGCTAAATTTGGTACAGGTTTTTAAGGGAGTATCGATACTACCTAAAAGAATATCGATACTACATGTATGGTATCAGTACTAAGGTTATTTTGGAGACTTTTGAGGTTATTTTTGGTACTGATACTCGGGGAGAGTATCCATACTCTAGAGTAGGTATTGATACTCATGTAAAGGTACCAATACCATCTATGATGATTGTTTAGTCAAATTCGAGACATCGAGTATACTCCAGAGTGAGAAATTTAGTAGCGGTTGAGATCGAACATTTAACTTGAGTGTGAGAAATTACTAAATGCCCTTAGAGGGGATGAAAATACTAAACTGTTCTTATGGGCCTAAGCAAATGAAATAACCCATGCTAGTAAAAGTTAGGGTTGCAAAGTGATTGAATGATAGTACGAGACTTGAGTGAGAAACCTAGAAACATTATGATTAATTAATAACAAGAAGAATAATAATATTTCAACAGCAATACTGATGGCTGTTAATAGAATGGTAAATGATGTGTGATGAGACATTTAATTTCATAACGAGAGTTTGATAATGAAGAATCCATATTTAAAATTTGACGACAGAGAATAATAAATCAAATGATGCGTAAGCCATCGATCAAGTCGATAGTGTTTGGCCTAGGGGCACTAATGTGTGTTGTGGTTGCACTGATGATGATTGTTGGATATTCATGACAATTGACTTGACGATTATTGTGACACCGAGTCAATGTTATGTTATTAAACAAGAATTATATCGAGACTATGGTGAGATCGAGTTCTCCTCCATGATCTATATTTGATGATTATGTTGAAAAAAAAGATCATAATATTGATTTGGTTGGAATTTTATCGAGGTATGTGTGACATCGGATTCCCCCATTTATGATTAGTATTTGAAGACTATAGTGACACCGAGTGTTATCATTGTGTTTGTGTAATGATTGTGTATTGTATATGGTGATGCATCGTTTTATGATATTGTGGTTAGGGATACAATATATTTATGTGTAGATGCTTAATTTGTCTGGGGCCTATATCATTTTCAAATGAAAGCAGTTCTGGGGAGTTAAAAACCAGAAAAAAAACGTGGGGGGGACACACAATCAGATAACAGAAAAAAAGAGACAAAGAAGGGGGAGAAGGGAATTAACCGAGTGGTCAAGGGAGAAAACACAAGGAGGAATTTTCAAAAAAAAAAAGGGAGATCAACCATTATCAAAGGAGAGCATTGTAAACAGGGGTTGGGGATTATTGTAAAAGGAGTTTTTCCTTTCATGGATGAATAAAAAAACAGAAATCATTGAAGAATAATTCCATTGGAAATTCTTTCTCAACACAAACCTCACAGATCAACAAAATAGAGTAAAGTTAACAATCAAACAGAAACAAACAGTAAAAATCATCTTCAGTCATCGACATCACAATTGAAGAGGGAGGAATTCGATCGTTACTACCTGAGTTTGAGGCCTCCATTGCGTGAGATTTGTCGCCGGTTTCGTCTGGCTTTAAGGGAACATCCAACCACCTAAAGGTAATACTTTTAATGTTCAGCCGAGGGTTTTGTTAGGTGTCAAGGGTTGTATCTTCGGGGCTAGGTTGGGATATAGGGCTAGATGGTGTCCTGTTGGCTATTTAGGTAAATCTTACATGGATTTAGACCCTCGTCGGAGCTTCTAGGTGGTGGTCGTTCGTTTTGGTTGAGGGTTAGAGAAGGAGAAGACATGGTGGCTTGGGTTCTTCAAGGTGGTCACGTAGTTTGTTTTGAGTTGGGGTTTTCACTTGTATTTCTTTAGGAACCTTAACTCTTCGTTGGAGCGGCTATAGGGCGGAGGTCACGGTGGCCTTGTGTGGTCGCCGGTTCGAAGAAGTAGAGGGCAAAGGAGAAGAGAGATATGCGGCTGATAGAGATGAAGTAAGCTAGGTTTAGTTTTCATATGAAATTACATATATATTAGCGAATTAAAATGGTGTCGTTTAGGGGATTTAGGGTTTCCTATTTTTGCGTGGTTTATTCTTAATATGGGTCATCTAGATTTTCAATTTCATGTAGTTTCGTCCTTAAATCAATGTTTTCATATTTCTAATTTTGTCTCTGTATTTTATTCGTATTTAATTTCAGTCCTAAATGGTAATGTATTTAGTTTCTGCTTGTTTATATATTTGACTTGTACTTTTATGCACGTTATATTTAGTCCTCAGGCTGTTTTCTTTTGGGTTTCTGTTCGTGTCCTTTAGGTTTATGTATTTCATTTTTTCATCCTAGATTAGGTTGTCTTTGATTCTATTTTGTTTTTACATTTAAGCTGTAATTTTGTGAATTTGTATTTTAGTCATGGAGCAAAGTTATTTTGGGTTGTGTATGAATTTCCGTATTTAACTTTTAGTTTTATTTCTTGTGTATTTTAGTCTTTTGAGCATGACTTGTTGTTGTTTTATAATTTCATTTTTTATTACTCGTTTTTTATATATAGGTTCGTTCTGGCCTTAAATGTTCATAGTTTCTTTTTTTTAAATAGTAATGCCTATATTTTTTAAATAGTTGATTTTAGGCCATAATATTTTGCTTCATTTCATGTTAGTAACCTCTAATTTTTGTTATGTTTTTATTAGCCATTACATTGCTTTCTTTAGTTTGTATGTGATTTATCTTGGTTGTATTTTGGTGTGTTAAGCGCGATTGTGGCATGTTATTAAATTAATTGGTCTAGGAAGTGTTTATGTAAGCATGTTTGATCATACACATATAGTTAGATGCCATTAATTTTTACATGACATACACTTTTTGCATAATTTGTATGATAGTCTCATTTGCATAACTCGACATATTACATAATTGGATTAAGGGTAATATGCTTTTAATTTAAAATTGTTTTAAGTGGGATGTCATAACTGATTTGAAGTCCGCTTTTAATGATTTTAAATTAAAAGTGTATCCCGAAAGTGAAACAAAAAAATTGATTCGTCACCTAAAATTTGGGAACGAGAGAAAAAGAAATGTTCGTTTATTTAAATATATCGAGAAAAGGTTGTTATATCTTTAAGATCTGGTCTCGATATTTGTAAATAATCGAACATTCTTTATCTTTCTAAAACGACTTGGTAATTTAATTTGTTTGAGTGCTTTTGAATGTTTTTAAATTTACATCATTGTTTTATGAGATCAAAAATTAAATTAAGTTCGAATTTGTAAAGTTCATTGCAAAGACGTTAATTAATCGATTAGGTACCGATCTAGGGCGTTGTGGGGGTGCTAATCCTTCCCCACACGTAACCGACTCCCGAACTCGGATTTTGCTAACGCAGACCTCAATTTGTTAATTAAAATTAATTTTTATTTAAAATGAGAAAGCATTTTTGGGGTGCCCAATCACACCCTAATCAAAGATTGGTGGCGACTCTTCGAACCGTATTTTTCGATCGTAAAAGAAATCTAAAAATTTTCGAAAAGAGAGGTTTTTTAAATCGCATTTGTTTTTAAATTAAAAAGAGATAATTAAGAATTAATGTGGTTTTAAAATCTCACATTTTTTTCACCCTTCAAGGAAAAATCGTTTCGACAGCTTGGCGATTTCACTAGGGACTTTTTTTAGAGAGTCAGGCCGATAGTCAATTAATTAATTGTCTTTGCAATTGAAAATTACAAATTCGTTTTAATTTTATTTTTGATCCTTTGTTTGTATTTTGATTTCTTTAATTTAATTCGATTGACAATTAAATAGTTGTACTAATCTGTTTGCTAATGGTTTCAGAATAATTGTTTATTTTAGGAATTGATTTTGAGTGTTTTTATTGTTTGTTTTTTCGCTTTTCCTCACACACTGCACAGCTACATTATCATAACATGAGCTAAAACCCCGCTCCGTCCTATTTAAGTAGGAGTGAGAGACTATGCCCTCGTGTGATTTTCACCTCCGCATGGGATAGTGGATTGCTCCTGGAGCTCACGCCTTATGGTCCTCATGATGGTAATCACCTCCGCATGGACATAAGGAGGTGTGTTCCCTCGAAATTGAACTCGATCCCCTAAAGCCTGTGATGGGCCAGGATTGAGGGTTCGACAGCCCAAGGGGGCACCGGCAAGGACAATTCGAGAACCTATTACTTTAGAACCTAACCCGGCATATAGTGAACGTAGAGCCCGAACTTAGGTTGAGCTAAACCCGAACCTTAAGAATCCCGTGAGGAGGGTACACAAGGAAAAGTTTTTTTGAGTCATTTATTTTCGTTTTTTTTTCGAATAAATGCATGCGAACTAGATATCATGCGGTTAGGTTTATTTTTTGAACAAGCATGCGAATTAGATATCATGCGGTTAGGATTTATTTTTGTGAATAACAAAGCATGGAGGTAGATATCATGTTGGGTAGGATCTGATAAAGCATGATTGGGTAGCCAGTATGTGTGGGTAGGATTCTTGAATAAATTATTATCCCGACTTAATTGCTTTATGATTGGGTAACCCAAGTTGGTATCCACATGTGGCTGCTCAGAATAACTTCTGTGCCAACTTTCCTGGCTTGAATTCTCAACAGAAATCACAATCACAAACTCAAATGGGTTTCTCCAATGGCCGGTCCACTTTCTGGACCAAGTGTCCATTGTATTGTTAAGTACCAGTATTATACAGAAATACTTAATAGATCTATTAACTGCCAAAATTGCAAGAAGGCCTTCGTTGCATGTGATTCAGGTGTTGTTCCACTGGGAAGTAACATGTGTCAGCCAATCTTTCCCCAACAAGGAGTTGCTCAGAATCAGGGTGCTTGCAAAGTTGATCAACGGTCTCAAAGGAGTTTTACTACCGAGCATGTTTTTACAGCCTTTACTCCAAATGCAGTTCGTGCTTCTGAGGCTGGAACGAGAAAGGTAAATGATAAAAGTGTTGCGGAAGACGGCTATCGGATAGAGCAAAATCGCAACTGATAATTTGAGAAAATAAAAATGAAGATAAAAGAGACACAAAATTTACGTGGAAAATCTCTAAGAAATATAGGGTAAAAACCACGGGCAACGGTAGAAGAATTTCACTATGAGAAAATAGGAATTACAACCTCTCTCGATCTACCAAGGAGAAAACAATGATAATTCTCTCTAGATAAAAAGGAGAAAACAACTCACAAGAAACTCTCTAAAATCTCTCTAGTATTGGAAGAAAGCTAGAATGCTTTGGGATGGTTTTGAAGCTAAATGAGCTAGGGTATTTATAGTTGAGGCTTTAAGGACTAATTTGTAAATACCTTAAATTACAATGACTAATTGCATAGTTTTATCATCTAAAATTTTCAACATTTGGTGGCCAAATTTGACCAATTTTACCACCCTATTAATGCCACCAAATTGCCACCCATAATGTTGACAATTGATGCAATTTAGTGTGCCAATTTTCAATAATCTCCCACTTGAAGATTTGATTGGAACAATCATATCTTCACACTATTCTTTTTACTTTGTACCTTTCATGTTGCTTACGTTTCTGACAGGCCACAGGAGGATCGACACCAGGTAAATTTATCAGCATTGATTGCCTTCGTCATGAAATCTGCTATGTTATCTTTGGTATGGATCTTCTGCATATCTACCGTTCATTCTTCCACCTTTTCACGAATGAAATGGTACTGAACTCGTATGTGCTTAGTCCTTGAATGAAATGCTGGATTTCTTGCTAGATGCAAGGCGCTTTGACTATCACAAAACAGAGAGACATACTCTTGATTGTGCCCAAGCTCCTCCAATAGCATCTTCAACCAAATTGCTTCTTTACTGGCTTGTGTAGCTGCTACATATTCTGCCTCTGTTGTGGAAATAGCCACAACTGACTGCAATTTTGAAACCCAGCTTACAGCTCCACCAGCAACTTTGAACACATATCCTGTAGTAGATTTGCTTTTATCCAAATCCCATGCATAGTCAAAATCTACATACCCATTGATTAGTAAGTTTGATCCTCCGTAACATAATGCAATATTTGAGGTCCCTTTGATGTATCTTAGGATCCTCTTTACAATATTCCAATGCTCTTTGCCTGGATTCGTCATGTACCGACTAACCACTCCCATTGCTTGTGCAATGTCTGGTCTTGTGCATATCATAGCGAACATTAAACTTCCCACTGCTGATGCATACGGTACTCGAGACATCTCCATCCTCTCTTCTTTACTGCTAGGACTCATACTGGAGGATAATTTGAAGTTAATACGAAGAGGGGTAGAAATTGGCTTACAATCTTGCATGCTAAATCGTGACAAGATTTTCTTCAAGTAATTCTTTTGTGAAAGCCAAATATTCCTATTACTTCTGTCTCGGTGAATTTGCATCCCTAGAATCTTGTTTGCTGATCCCAAGTCCTTCATTTCAAATTCCCTAGTCAGTTGTGCCTTCAATTATTCAATATGATCTTTGTTGGGTCCTGCAACCAACATGTCATCCACATACAACATCAATATAACAAAATCGTTATCACCAAACCTCTTGAAATAAGCACAAGGGTCTACATTAAGTCTGTTGTATCCAAGGCACATAATGAAGGAATCAAATCTCTTATACCAACACCTCGGTGCCTGCTTTAGACCGTACAGATATTTGTTCAACCTGCAAACCAAGTTCTTCTTTTCGTCTTTTTCAAAACCAGGCTGGAGCATATAAATCTCTTCTTCAAGATTTCCATGAAGAAAAACTGTTTTAACATCTAGCTGTTCCAAATGTAAATTCAATGTAGCACACATTGCCAAGACTACTCAAACTGTTGTTAGTCGAACCACAGGAGAAAAAATTTCATTGAAATAAATACCTTCTTTCTGAGCATATCCTTTGACCACCAGTCTTGCACGATACCTCTCCACTTGATCGTCACAATTTCGCTTGATTTTAAAAACCCATTTGTTACCAATTGGCTTCCTTCATTGTGGTAGTGGCACAAGGTCCCATGTATTATTTTTATGAAGGGCTTCGATTTCTTCTTTCATCGCCATCATCCACAGTGAAGCATCTGAGTTGTTTATTGTCTCCTGGTATGTTGATGGCTCACCGTCCTCTGTTAAAAGGCAGTATTCAATATTACCTTCTATAACATAATCTGAGTGCCAATTGGGACGTCTTCTCACACGATCTGATTGACGAGTTGTTGGAGCTTCAGAACTCTCTGGTTCTTGTTCATCATGTGCTAGTTCTGCTTCAGAAGAATCTCCTTCTTCAAACTCTTTTTCCACATGTATCTGAGTAGTCTCTGACTTTTCAGCGCTATCATCGTCTTCTTTTCTTTGTAGTTTATCTTCTACAAAGATAACATCCCTGCTAATGATCACTTTGCGGGCAGTGGGATCCCACAAGCGATACCCCTTTACTCCATCAACATACCCCAAGAATTTGCATTTCCTGGATTTTGGATCCAACTTTGAAATTTCTTGGGCGTTGTACATCACGTACACAATACTTCCAAATACATGGAGGTTTGAATAATCAACTGGTTTACCAGTCCACATCTCTATTGGTGTCTTCAGCTCTATTGCAGTTGATGGAGCTCGATTCACCAAATAACAGGCGGTATTGACTGCTTCTGCCCAGAATGATTTTTCTAGGCCTGCGTCCCTCAACATTGCTATTGTTCTTTCTAACAAGGTTCGGTTCATCCGCTCTGCCACTCCATTTTGTTGAGGAGTGTTCGCCACTGTGAACTGTCTTTTGATGCCTTATTTCTTGCAAAAGTCATCAAATTCTTCGCTTGTGTATTCTCCTCCATTATCTGTTCTGAAACACTTGATCTTATTTCCAGAATCAAGTTCCACCAGCGCTTTGAAGTTTTTGAAAGTTGAAAACACGTCTGACTTCTTCTTAATAGGGTGCACCCAACATCTCCTGGAGTAGTCATCAATAAATGAGACAAAGTATTTTGCTCCACCTAGGGACGCTACTGGTGCTTGCCATACGTCAGAGTGAACCAATTCTAGAACACTTTTGCCTATAGAATTTGATGTGTTGAATTTCAACCGGTGTTGCTTACTTGTTATGCAATGCTCACACAAAGGAAGTGATACATTTGTTAAGCCTGGAAGTAGCTTTTGCTCCACAAGGACTTTCATTCCTTGTTCTGACATGTATCCAAGTTTCTGATGTCATAGCATTGCTGAATCTGAACTACATGAGGCAACAGAGGTTTCTGCTTCTACCAAAGTCTCTCCCTTCAGCATGTACAAGTTTGCAACTATTATTTCGCCTTTCAGTACCACAAGCACTCCACGGAACACTTTCATGATTTCTTTCCGTGTTTCAATCTTTCTTGCATTATTATCCAACAATCCGTAGGATAATAAATTTTTCTTCAGGCCTTTCACGTGCCGCACATCTCGAACAACTTTTAATTGTTCCGTCAGACATCTTCAATTTGATGGTTCTCACGCCAACGATCTCTAAGGCATGATCATTGCAACTATAAACAGATCCTCCTGAGACAGGTTCATAATGATGGAACCATTCTCTTCTTGAGGTCATGTGATATGTTGCTCCCGAATCAATGAGCCATATATCTGTAAATCGTTTTCTTCCTTCCACGGTGGTTGTCGCTTCACAACATAGAGCATCTCCATCATCTGAAGTGTTTGCAGTATTACCTTATGGATTGGAGATTTTATTTAGACTCCAACAATCCTTCTTCAAATGACCCTTCTTTCCACAGTTGTAACACTTTAAATTCTTCTTGCTCATTGACTTCGATCTACCATGTTTGTGACTGCTGCTTTGGCCACGTTCTGTTGATCTCCCTCTCATCGTTGTCAACGCTTCTGCTTGTTACAGATTTACTTGTCTGTCTTCCTTGTTCTTGCGCCGATTTTCTTCTTGTAGAACAGCAGCTGCAACATCATCAAAGACTAGACTAGTGACATTATTGTTTGTCAAGTTGATGATGAGTTGATCATACGAATCCGGTAGACTTTGAAGTAAAAGTTCAACACGTTCTTGTTCTTCTATTTTACAACTTAAGGATGTAAGCTGAGAAAATAAAGTATTCAGTGTATTTAAGTGCTCCGTCACTGAAGTGGATTCTGGCATACGGAGAGTGTACAATTTTCTCTTAAAGAAAATTTTATTGTGCAGCGATGTGGCCTCGTACAGTTTGGTGAGATGATCCCATATCTCCTTAGCTATCTTTTTTCTCCTCGATGCTTGACAATACTTCATCTGCTAATGCTAGATGAAAGTTTGCTATAGCATTCATGTCCATTTCGATCCATTTGTTGTCATCTGTGAAATCTACCGGCCTTTCACTGATAGATGCTAGACACCCGTCTTTCCTCAGGATGGCCTTCATCTTCAATTTCCACAATGAGAAATTTCTCCCATTGAATTTTTTAATATCAAATTTCGTTGTCATAGCTTCTTTTATGGATAGCTCCCACTATTTCACTATCGTGAATAGTTCTCTGGAACTTTCAAAGAATGAGTAATACATTCTTACTTTCTTATGTTGGAGGATCCACCTTTTGGTGGCAACCACAAAGACAATAACCAGATATTACACACTCTAATCTAGCTCTGATACCAATTATTGCGGAAGACGGCTATCGGATAGAGCAAAATCGCAACTGATAATTTGAGAAAATAAAAATGAAGATAAAAGAGACACAAAATTCACGTGGAAAACCCCTAAAAAATATAAGGTAAAAATCATGGGTAACGGTAGAAGAATTTCACTATGAGAAAATAGGAATTACAACCTCTCTCGATCTACCAAAGAGAAAACAATGATAATTCTCTCTAGATAAAAAGGAGAAAACAACTCTCAAGAAACTCTCTAAAATCTTTTTAGTATTGGAAGAAAGCTAGAATGCTTTGGGATGGTTTTGAAGCTAAATGAGCTAGGGTATTTATAGTTGAAGCTTTAAGGACTAATTTGTAAATACCCTAAATTACAATGATTAATTGCATAGTTTTACCATCCAAAATTTTCAACAATTTGGTGGCCAAATTTGACCAATTTTGCCACCCCATTAATGCCACCAAATTGCCACCCATAATGTTGACAATTGATGCAATTTGGTGTGCCAATTTTCAACAAAAAGAGGAAGGAAGCAAACTGTAGAATCCTGTAAAAGCAGTAACGAGTGTGATGAGGATATTGTTATTGAAGGCAATGGTGATCTTATGGCTAGAAAGAAGTTCAATTCTCAAGTTGAGCAGAATACGTGGAGATCTGGTTAGCAAAAGCAACATGTTTCATATACAAGGACAATTTAAATGATGAGGAGGACATGGTTAGTCTTCCGAAAAAGGAGAAAATAAGTGGATCACTGTGTGCAAATGATGAGATTGAAGAAATGCCAAATGAAGACGTCTAAACATGAAAGTCGAGCTGGTAAAGTGAAAGAAGATAAGAAAGCAATGAACCATAGAGAAGGTAAAAGTTTTGGGGCAAGCTTTGTGAAGGAAAGAGCTGAAGGGGATGTTCTTAAGAAACCTGGGAAAGTTTATGCTGACGGCCTTAAGGAAAACTTAAACCCCATTGTTGATGATTCTGTGTCAAATACGAGCTTCAAAGAAATAAAAGAGCCCCTGCTCTTTGCATACCCAGACCCGGAGTTTTATGACTTTGACAATGCGAAGAAAGAAAGTTGTTTTTCAGTCGGTCAGATTTGGGTTTTGTATGATACATTGGATGCCATGCCTAGATTCTATGCTCTGATCAGAAAAATATTCTCCTGTTCAAAGTGAACCTATACTACTACTTTGAAAAAAACAAAAGGTGATTTTTGGACAACTTCGAAGCTAAATTTGGTACAGGTATTCAAGGGAGTATCGATACTACCTAAAAGAATATCGATACTACATGTATGGTATCAGTACTAAGGTTATTTTGGAGACTTTTGAGGTTATTTTTGGTACTGATACTCGGGGAGAGTATCCATACTCTAGAGTAGGTATTGATACTCATGTAAAGGTACCAATACCATCCATGATGATTGTTTAGTCAAATTCGAGACATCGAGTAGACTCTAGAGTGAGAAATTTAGTAGCGGTTGAGATCGAACATTTAACTTGAGTGTGAGAAATTACTAAATGCCCTTAGAGGGGATGAAAATACTAAAATGTTCTTATGGGCCTAAGCAAATGAAATAACCTATACTAGTAAAAGTTAGGGTTGTAAAGTGATTGAATGATAGTACGAGACTTGAGTGAGAAACCTAGAAACATTATGATTAATTAATAACAAGAAGAATAATAATATTTCAACAGCAATACTGATGACTGTTAATAGAATGGTAAATGATGTGTGATGAGACATTTAATTTCATAACGAGAGTTTGATAATGAAGAATCCATATTTAAAATTTGACGACAGAGAATAATAAATCAAATGATGCGTAAGCCATCGATCAAGTCGATAGTGTTTGGCCTAGGGGCACTAATGTGTGTTGTGATTGCACTGATGATGATTGTTGGATATTCATGACAATTGACTTGACGATTATTGTGACACCGAGTCAATGTTATGTTATTAAGCAAGAATTATATCGAGACTATGGTGAGATCGAGTTCTCCTCCATGATCTATATTTGATGATTATGTTGAAAAAAAAGATCATAATATTGATTTGGCGGAAATTTTATCGAGGTATGTGTGATATCGGATTCCCCCATTTATGATTAGTATTTGAAGACTATAGTGACACCTAGTGCTATCATTGTGTTTGTGTAATGATTGTGTATTGTATATGGTGATGCATCGTTTTATGATATTGTGGTTAGGGATACAATATATTTATGTTCATGGTCAGACCCTTAGTTACGAATTAAGGGAAGCATGATACTTGTATCATTGTGATGGTATATGTACTTGGAATAGATGATTTTAACATTGCTGGTATTGTTAGCCTTGCTTCTTTAATTATATTGATTGACATATTTATGCCATAAATACATATAGTATAGTAGAGTTATTATATGTAAGAGTTTGTGATTTACCCCATTATTGCCGTCGACCATTTCTACTCACCACCGCCGAACATTTATCCGTAAGTCGTCGCTCACCTATTGGTAGGCGTCAACTCCAAACCCCTTAATTCTAAATGCTTAAAGTCTCTAATTTTAAACCAAAATATTATTTACCCCTTGCCTCGCTCGCCGTCCCTCGTTACCGCTCCTTTGCAAATCAAAATCACGGGCTCATGAACTATTGGTGCACATCACAGGAGATGCAAAAAATTGGCGCGCGCATGGACTGGTGGAAGGTGATAGATTTGCACATAGATAGTGAAGGGGGGATTTTGGGTATTTAGTTAAAAAAATTTATGGTTTTAAAATAATTTTTTTAATGTAAAATTTTAAAAAATATATATAAACGCGATACATGCTGGATAACGGTTTTTTAATGGTCATTACGAAGTAAGAACTTAAAATATAACTCTTATAACATTAGACACATATATTGATAGTTTAATTAGATATCAATTTATTTAAAGAATAATTAAAATATCTTTTTGTAAATTATATTAATATTATTACAAATATGGTTTTATTTTTTCTCATACTTCTATATAATCTTTAAAAAATAATTAGAAAATACTTTTAATTTTTTTAAAATAATCTGAGGTAATTATAAGATAATATTAGTTTGTGAAAAAAAATTACATACTAAAAACGCATGCATCCTAAGACCACTTGATAGGTTAAAAAATCTATAAACATTAGATTATTAAATGCATTGTGTAAATTTATTATCACTCTACTTGCATCTTGCAATATTACTTCAGTCCAAATTTGTACTTAAAAAATGAAATCGATTCTCTCAAACCTCGAACCAAAACACAATTGAAAATGGGATGAGAGTTCAAAATTTTAAAACTATTTAAGCGGCTAAGAATGCTTCGATTACACCCCAAAGAAATCGTCAACTTGCAGTTTGCAACCCCAATTCATGGAAGGTAAGGATCTGGACATGTTCCACCACCCGAATCAAGGTGCCGCGTTCGCCTATTATACCATTACACTTGCGTCTGTTTTCTCTCTATGGAAAATCCTACTGTTAATGTCGAAGCACGCCACTAATACGATTTATTATTAATTAAATTAAAACACGATAAACTGCAAATGATCATCAAATTATAATAAAATAGTATTTTTAATCATTCAACTTTTTAAAAGTTATAAAATAGGCATTAAACTTTAGATATTGTTAAAATATAAGCATCGATCTAACCATCATTAAAGGGTAATATGGAATTTTAAAATAATAAAAATATCTTCTTTGACACTTTAATTGTAACTAAAATTTTATTTTTGATATTTTTCAATATTTTTAAGTAAGAATTTCAAAAAAATTGAAAAAAATACATTTTTAAATTTATTAAACAAAGGTTAAATAATTGAATCGCATTGGTTAACAAAAAATGTCTTCGCTTTTTAATAATTTAAATTTGTTTGATCACAAAAATTACAAATAATGAATTTTACAAATTTAATCGTAACTAAGAAAAATTATTTATAAAATAATTTGATGAATTAACCATTCATGAAGTTATAGTTTTAAAAAATATTTATAATTTTAAAATTAAATTGTGAATTTCTATATATTTTTTAAAAAAAATATTTTTTTCAGAGTTATTACTTAGAATTGCTAAAAATTAATAAAAAAGTAAAAAAAAAATATAAGTTGCTGCTGGAAATGCTGATTCTACTCAAGCTTGAATTACGGTTCTAATGTCCCGAACAAAAGAAAATTGATGAGTATGTTATGAACATAAGAATTTTTTTCTCGTTAATAAGGTTTTGGAATTTAACTTTCAAACTTAAAATCATTCTGAAAAATAAGAATAAATTATTCCATTTCGAAATGTAAAAAAATGAAGAGAAAATTTTATGGATTTGTGTTTCATTAACAAAATTATTCAAATTAGATGAGAACCGACTTCAAACTACAACATGGCTATTGTCGATTGGTGGTTTACCCTGAGCATCGGGTAAGGGAGTTAGCTTTGGAATTTGCTACGCTCAAACAGTCCTTAACTTTAATTAGCATTCACGAAATCATCAAGTGATCTTGAAAAAAAAGTATTATTGTTTAGGTTGGAAAAGTTATGTCTGTATGGAATATGCGTCGTCAATAATTGAATTATTTTTAATAAATATTTGTAATCACACCAAACTATTAAAAGGTAACACATAAATTTTAATAATTAATTCGTATAGAGAACTTGTATCTAAAATAAGCCCCAACACTTAATTTATACCCACATAAACTTTCAATAGGAATTTATAAAATTAAAATATATATTTTTGATCGGATACGAAATTAAATATTTATATTTAAGTGCATTGAATCGAGGAAAAAGAAGTGGGAGTTGTTTTCTTCATTCCTGAATATTATATACAAATGCAAATAATTGATTAAAACTAAGATCCAGTTAATCGGTTTATATTTTAATAGAGTAAGATAATCAAGACAATGGGATTGGTCAATGAGGAATAAAAAAAGGTTAGATCTTTGAAAAAACCCTCGTGAAAAGCTTAAGTCGAGGTGATTTTACTATAATTATTGAACTCAAGACTTAGCTTAAACGTATTGATTTCCTTGTCTATATAAAGTCAATTATCTAGGGTTCTTAATCAACCACTGAATCTGCTATCAAAACACCATTGTCTTCTTAATTCTCTTGTTTCATTTTGATTCTGAACGCAGTGATGAAAATTAAGGGTTCTTATAGTATTTTCATTCTCGTTGTGTCTCTTATTTTGTTCGGTATCATCGATGTTTGTAATGCCCAGAACCTGAGCAAAAACTTCTACAAAAAAACTTGTCCCCGAGTTGAGAAGATCGTAAAAGAGATTATCCAGAATCGAACCCGGAGTAATCCGACTTTGGGCGCTAAGCTTATCAGGATGCAGTTTCATGACTGCTTTGTTAGGGTAATCAACTACATATTGACCCTTTTTTAGGTATCTTGGGAGCCAAGTTACACATATATTGATGTTCTTTTGTTGAATTTTATGTCAGGGATGCGATGGATCAGTGCTGGTGGATACAGTTAATAATTCGAAAGCTGAGAAAGAAGCAATACCGAATCTATCCTTGAGCGGTTTCGATGTGATCGACGAAATCAAGACCAGAATAGAAAGGGCTTGCCCTAAAGTCGTTTCATGTTCGGATGTTCTTGCCTTGGCGGCTCGTGATGCCGTTTCTGCACCTGTAAATAACACCATTGAAGCAACAAGTTTTCACTCTTCTCATTTCATATACATTAGAAGAAAACAACGTATTTATAGTTTTGAAATATATAGTTTTGATTGCAGTTTAAGAAGTCGCTGTGGGACGCTCAGCTCGGACGACGAGACGGTAGAGTTTCACTGGCAACTGAGACCAGTGGAAACATCCCTGGACCCTTTACGAACGTCAGTAGTTTGATTCAGTTATTTAACAGGAAAGGCCTTGATGTTAATGATCTTGTTGTTCTTTCAGGTATAACTTCCCTTTTTTTACTTTGGTTTACCGATGCTTGCATGTCATATATGTGATATCTCAATTTCTTTCTTATCTAAATATAGGGTAAAGTATAAAAATGGTATCTCGATTATAGAACATTGTTTTGTTGAGTCATTCGAGTATTAAAACTTACAAAATGATACCCGACTATAGGATATTATTTTGTTGAGCCCGTCGACTATTAAAAGTTACAAAATGATCACTCTACTATTTATATGTTTCAAACTTGTCCTTTGTTGTTAAAAAACTGATCCCAAAATCATTTGTGTTGTATTTGTGGATCGACTATCCATTTACATTTTTCCATCGAGCCAGCGCTTGAGAGCAACGATAGTGTCAATAGACGACATTAAATAATAGTTTTAATATATTTCAATCAGCATGTTAATGTCTAGCTCAGACGACCGCCAATTTTTTAATAGAAAATGATGAATTTAGAACATAGGAAAAGTCGAGGGACCATTTTGTAACTTTTAATAGTCGAAACAAAATAACACCCTATAATCAGGGGACTGTTTTATAAATTTTAATAATCAAGCGACTTAACAAGCGACCTATAGTTGAAGGAACATTTGTGTTCTTTATCTTTAAATATAATATAAAATTAAATATGAACACTTTAAAGAAAATAGAGTGAATACTAAGAAAAATGAAGTGTTTCTTTTCTTACTTCACAATCCTCAAAGATCAACAATTAATGCTTTCATGTGATATCATAGTTCTATATTTATATCCCAATATGTGTGGGATAGAAAACATTATATATGTATGCTCTAGGGGGGGAAACGTAGTTTTATACTTGTTCACAATTCTTTTACATCAATAATAAATGCTTGCACGTGATGTCGGATCAAATGCATGTCTAAATATATATTAGACATGCAATATGAGTAATGCAAATACTAGGACCTAAATTTGAAGAGTGGGTTAGTCATATGTAGGAAGTAGTTGAAGTCGATAGTTATTATTTGATAACTTTATTTCTTTAGTTTATTTCTCTAATTGAAACATACAATTCAATATATTTTTCTTTTCTTTTTCTCAAAAATATATTGCCAAAAGAATAACATAAACGAATTTTACTTTCTCATTTTCGGGTGCATGAAATTAAAAGAATTATGTTAACTTAGGGAACAATATTCACTTTCAAAATTATATCATTAATCCAAATCAAATTGACAAGATTTGAACATCATAATACTTGCATGTAATACTGAATTTTCATATCTATGTCCAAATATACGACAATAAAATTGGAATATACCTAAGATAATAATCGAGTTTAGGTTTGATTATCGGATGCGACAATGTGGCATTGATTTTCCCTGATCAAACAGGTGCGCACACCATTGGAGTTTCTCGATGTGGAGCATTCTCAAGAAGGCTTTACAACTTCACAGGCAAAGGCGATGCGGATCCGAGCTTGGATGGAGCTTACACCGAAACCCTGAGAAAAAAATGCCCGAACCCAGCAACTCCAACGACAACGGTGGAAATGGATCCCCAGAGTTCACTATCATTCGACAATCATTACTACGACATCTTATTACAAAACAAAGGGTTGTTCGTTTCTGATGCTGCACTTCTTACAGACAGGACTTCCAACAGTGCCGTGATCCGGTTACGAAGATCGCCTTCTTCGTTTTTCTCTGCATTCGCAAAATCCATGAAGAAAATGGCTGCCATCGACGTTCTCACTGGAAATGCTGGAGAAATCAGGCAAAACTGTCGTGTTGTTAATCCATTAAAATAAGAACGATTTGCATGCATTTTCTTATCAGAACAAAATAAGGTTTAATTATGCAAATAATGTTAAGTAATTTGAAGAATATTGTAAGCTTTCTCCTGGTTTTTATAATCAAGTTAATCATGCCTTGGATGTAATTGTAATAGATCGTCACTCAAATAAATGTTTACGTTTTTGAGCATTTGGTGAGTTTTATAAATGTTTCTTTCTGTTTTTTTATATTTAATCATCTGTATTAGACTTATGATTGACTAATCCAAATTAAATATATTATAAGGTTCATTATGAGACGGATTTTATCAATCTAATTTTCTTCATTTACAACATCAGTATTCCAATCTTCTTAATTTTGACCAAGTAATCTAACACCTCGTTTCACTAAGTTAAATTATAGTTAATTTTTTCTGCTTTTTACCTCCAAACAAAATTATTTTTTGATTTTGAGTAAAGAAACTAACGTCTCATCCTTATAAAACTAAGTAATAGTTTAAAAAATCTATTTTTTTTTACCACAAACAGTATTATTTATTTATTTATTTATTATTGTTGTTAATTTAAAAAGTAAGATAATATTTGTTCACATTTACATTTCAGGGATGTTTTTGAGAATATATTTTTATGATTAAAAAACTTTGTAGTCTCAGAGAGAATAATGTGGTTTAAACTGTGTCGACACCATTTTTCGCCCAGGTGGGGAAAAACTTAGTACGACTATGGGTTTTTTCTTTGAAAATTTTTTGAAATGTGAGGAGTCGCCATCGACCTTTTGAGTTAGGTAGGTCGAATACTCATAAATCATCTTTTAAAATAATTTTTAAGAAAACATCATTTTAAAAGATTCACCAATCTACGTGTAACCAGATATTCATTCTTTTTTTGTAATAAAAAAAGGGTTCAGAGATCGCTTACGTGTGGGAAAAGATAAGCACCCCCACAACGCCCAAAATTGGTACCCGTCAATTATAAATTGTTTCTAATAGTGAAAATCTAAGAATTAGAATATAAATTTAAGTTACGATCCTATTATTCCAAAATCAACCATTCAATGTTTATTGAAAGAAAAAATTCTAAAGAGGAATAAAAAATATTCAAATATTTCCAATCGAAGAGAAAATAATCTCTAAAATACTGTGGGACGAATATTCCTCTTTCCAACTGAAGTAAAAAAATATAATAATTTCTCCAAAGAATTCGAGATTAAAATAAATTGATTCGGCCAAATAAATAAATTAAGCCAATTAATCCAAATTATATACGATTAGAAAAGATAAGGGACATCCAATTATTTAAAAATATCGATAACTAATCCCTAATAAAATTAGGCGAATTATCTCGATAAGTTTAAATAAGTGAATATTTCATTTTCCCTTCAATCTTGATTAATTTTAGCATACTCAATTTTTAGGTTCTTTTATTAGGGTATTTATTTATTTTAAAATATCAAAATATGACATCTAGTTACTTTAAGACATGCATTTCTTAATATTTTAAAATAAATAAATACTACCTTTAATCCAATTATGAAATCAGTTGAGTTATGCTTTTGAGGCTTTCGTATATATATTCGAAATGTCTAGATCTATATGCACAAACAAATTGACATGGAAAAAGAGGGAAATTAAGTATTAGCAAATTAAATGTAATACTACAATATATCTACTATGAACATAACTAAAGTGAAATCATAATTTCTAAGTTTGATTCGAATGTTAATCTAATTTAAAACTAAAATCTAAGAATTAGAGCTATGGAAAAAACATTTAATAAATAAAATAAAATAATTAAAACAACAAATAAATATGAAAAATAAAAACAGTAAAAATAACATAAAATGAAAAATAAAATAAGTACAAGGACCTAATTGCAATAAAATCTAATTACATTGACTAAAATGCAAGAAAATAAAAGCTATTAGTTAAATCCGAAATTAAAAAGTGACTAAAAATGAATAAATTGTAAATATCACATCCAAATAATAATAAAATAAGAAGCAGAATCAAAACAGTGACTAAAATGAATAAACATAAAATTAGTGACTAAATTCGAAAGTTAATAAAAATCAATATGCATATTCGAAATAAATAACAAAGTACATGACCATAATGCAAAATAAGCTAAAATATGAGGAGCTTGAAGATAATTTTACCCATATAGTGACCAAATCGTAAAACATGTTGAAACTGGAGGATCTGGAATGCGATTTGACCTTGAAACACAAAGCAAAAAGGTTATAGAATCTGGGGACATGGTGAGTGATTTACCCATTTTCCATACACAAAATATCACCCCCCATGTTTACGTAAACTGTAGGAAGCTTACTAAAGCTTCAAACGACTCATACGGCCATCGCTCGCCGACCCTCCCAAGCAGAAAACAGGGACGGAAACCACCCTAAACCACCGGTGACCTCGGCCATGAACGGAGGAGAACCGACCAACTCCTAAAAGGCCGAGACTTCCCCCTCCTAACCTCACTCTCTCTCGTTCTTTCTCTTCCCTTTCTCCTCCCCATTCGGTGGCCGAGAGGGCTTAAAATCGAGCCCCAACGCCGGCCACCACTCTTGTATTCTCAACGTCGAACACTCAAACTCCGAAGCAAAGATCACGATGAAGGAAAAAAGAAAAAGCTAAAATAACAAAGAAGAAAGAAAGCAAAATGGAGAGCAAATACAAAGTCAAAGAAGATATATTTTCATTCCATATTTTTCGGGGAAAAGCCTCGTCCTTTTACAAGGGTTGGTTGGGGTATTAATAACCCCAACAACTACATTTTAATATTGTTTTTTTTTTCATAATAAAATAAAATAGAAATGGGAAAACATGGTGTTTACAAAGTGACAGGAATCCTAATCCATTGTTAAAATCAGATATCATTCTATAGAATCGTTGAAGATTGGAGCGTTTTGATGGTCTTCGGTGAAAATATATCTTAGCCTAAATTTTTTGATAAACTTTGGATGATTATATCCACTCTTGAGGTGGAACACATAATGAAGATGATATGATTAAATGTTGGAAGTGAGAGCTTTGAAGTTAGACCGGCGATGAGAACTCTTCATTGCTTGAAAAAAAATATACTAGGAAACCCTTTTTGGATATAGAGAAGCTTCAAATTGATGAAGCTATTAACGTTATTTAGTATCTACATTAAAAAAAAATCTTAACAATGAAAAATTATTAGATGAATTTGGTTTCACGCCATCTAAGATCCCAACTGAATCTTCACCATTTTTTTGCACGTAAATAAAAAATATATATTTATTTAAAAATTATTTTAAAATTTATAGATCTCATTCACTAAAATTATAAATAATGTAATGAGCCGAATCCAACAAATAATTTCTCCTTAACAACATACTTGGACTGTCAAGGAACACTGACACCTAGGAGAGGAAGAGTTTCGAGGAGGGAGGCTGACGAATGAACGAGTGTCAATCGGGTAGAGTTTTGGCAAAGATGAAATATTCAAAAATGGTAAATTAAAAATGTGTCCCTAAATTGATTTAGATTTACAAAAGACCTACAGTATTTTATCTAGAATTGAAGGGTTAAAAAATTATATAATAATATTTTAGATTTTTATCAGTTTAAATTCAAGTTAGATTAATTTTTGATTTAGATTTACAAAAGACCTACAATATTTTATCTAGAATTGAAGGGTTAAAAAATTATATAATAATATTTTAGATTTTTATCAGTTTAAATTCAAGTTAGATTAATTTTTGAAATTTTAAAATAAATCTTTATTATTTTAAATTTAAACAATTAACTCATCTGATATTCAATATTAATTCTATCCCTTTCTCCTTTCTCTCTTCCCCTAATTTCTATAAACATCGTACCAAATTAGATATTTATATATAGTATAATATTATCAAATTAATATTTATAAACTATCTCCGTAGTTAAAGAATAGATGATTGTTATCCCTAGAGGTCTCAGGTTCGAACACTAGAGACATTAAGGGCAATGAGCTTTCATTGTTAAATTATTGAGAATTTTTATAATTAATATGATTAATAAAAAAAAGGATATCTAAAATTTACAAAGTTAATAAATAGGAATTTGATCTAATTTTAATTGTAACACCCCGAATCTCAGATTAGTAATTCGGGTCAACCCGAGACCCAAAGTTGAGCCCAAAGGACCTTATAAAATTGCTAAACCAGTTTTATGTTAGTGAGCTTGTGTTGGGACCAAAAGATTTGGGTGATAGGTGATTAGTGTTTTATGTAAGAGAAAGTAGATGGGCTAATAGTGCAATTTTCCCTTATTGTTTTAAAGCTGAAAACCCTCCCCTTTTATGTCATGTCTACGTGAACTACCCCACCATTTTCTCACCAAACACTCCTCTCTTCTTCTTCATCATTTTCTCTTTTCTTCTTCCTTTCTTAAGTGCAAAGTTTTAAGGATTCAAACTTAGTTTGTTATAGCTAAGGTAAGAATGTTTCTCTCCATCCTTCAAGATTTGTTTTATGTTTCATTTTGTAAGTTTTAGAAATAGTTTTCAAAATGGGTTTTTCTTGAAGGTAGGGTGAATTCTAGTTGATTCAAGAAGTGTTTTAGCAGCCAAGGCAGTAAGGTAACACACTTATAACTTTCTCATACCATGTGTAGATTATGGAAAGTTAAGATATGTTAGAAAGTTAAGTTTAAAACATGTTTAGAAATTTCCATGGTAGATTGTTCATTTAATGTTATAAGCATAGTATAAAACTTTATTTATGCTCCTTGTGTTCACAAAACTTTAAGCATGTTTGGTGATCTCACTAAGGACTTTGGGATTGAAAAATAGAGTATTTCATACTTGTTTTATGTCTTCTGCAGGTAGAGTATCGATACTATAGGGATAATATAGATACTTGTTCTTCATTTTGGGCAAATTTGTGAGTTTATGGCAAGAGTGTCGATACTCTTTCAAGAGTATCTAAACTTTGGGTCATAGTTTCGAAACTTGGCAGAACATAATGTTTAAAAGTTTCTATATTTATATAAAGTATCGAAACTTTAGCAGGAGTATCGATACTTTCAGTCTTT